ATGCTGCTTCAGCCGGAGCTTTGTTTGAGGCCGCCTGGTCAAGCAAAAGCAAGTTTTAAGGGCCACTTCCAAAAAGTGTATCAAAGAACCCAAAGACGAAGCATGCAGCCCCGATGCGGGAAGGTATGTCACGAGAACTAAATCTGCAAGTGGCCATCCCGAGTGCATGAGAACTTGCAAGCTTGAGCATCCATCGGCCTCGCCCTCGCTCACCGACACATCCGCCGCTGCTAACGGCGACGCAACTTTCGCCTCCGCAGCACAAAAAGCCACTATATTTAAGATAGGCCTGCTACAGCAGGATCCATCATCAGAATGCGAAGCAACGAAAACTCAACGATCAAATCACAAGAAGAGAGCGGCCAGGTTCCCCCCCACGTGCTTCGACAGTTGTTTGATGCTGGCTGCATCTACACTCAAGCTGGTATTGCTGAGGAAAGAATGATACGGAACCTGGTGGGGTTATGACCTTGTTAAAGAACAGTTCTCCGTGTGATTGACCAGGATTGTCAAAGCCCTGCGCAAAGCGCTATATGATCTGACGGCTTCGGTCAACGAAAGACAAGCTTGGCTTGGATGGCTTGGCGAACCCGTTTGAGGCTTCATCGCACCTCAACTGGCACAGTCGCTTGCTTCTGCTCGGCTTCGGGCAGCGCCTGGCTTGTCAGCAATTTTGTGATTCGAATCTGCACAAGCATTCCGTGTTGCCGCGTTGCTGTGTAGCCCTGGTAAACAGCCAGAATAGAATCCCAAGAGTGACCAACACATGCGCAAGTGACTTTTTGGTGCATCGGTGTACGCAGGCAGGATACAGAATCCAGCAACACTTAAACGACAAGCAGACACTTAAGCATGCACAGCTTTACATTACAATGTGCAGTGCAGCAGTTCCGTGGCAGCAGAAACGTGCACAGTACTGCCTGATTACCCAAATGCTGCTGCCATTTAGATGCAGAATTTTGAATCTACGTTGAGGTGGACCATTCCTTGCATGCAGCTACCACATGAGGCACAGATGCAAACATGTCTACTTCCGGATCGCACCATGCAAGCGAGTGACGGCACAGGCCTCCCCTCTCTGCGCAGAAGAGCCAAGCTCCTACCAAAAAACGTCAGGGCATCACATGTTGTGTGACCGCTGCCTTGCACTCGCGTGCAAAGTGGCCATAACAGGGTGGTGGGACGTCCTCTGCTGACGCTGATGCTTCCAACAGGGTTAACTGACAGCGTCTACTGCGCTGGAAGCAAAGCTAGTGCAGTAGCAGGATGTTGTATCCTCCGGCACGTCAGGGCCCGCAGCTGTCATAGCCGCGTCCGCTGCTGCAAGGGCTTCCTGCACTGCGGCGGAGCGAACCCTACATGGCTTCTGGAGTCTTGTCACATGTTCTACACCTTTCTAATCCTTGGCTTCGTGCTTTGAAGCTGCAGCGTTCGACACTTGACAATGCAACCCTTGATCTGCAAGTCAGCACGTCCTTCAGCTGCACATCTGAAGGATCACACTGTGCCTGCAAAAGTTTCCTCGGGTGAATCATGTGCGCTGGGAATTGAGAAAGTTCAGTCTTAAATGTGATTTGATCTTGGCTCCAGGAATCTCGGACATCTTCCAATCTCGTGTAAGAATGAGGCAGGAATTCCTCCTGTATGCATCTGAGCGGCTGCAGCTTCCCAACGGCGAGCGTCATGACTTCAAGAGCACAACTGAGATCGCTGGGAGCAGCTGTAGCGTGCAGTTCATCATCCTGAGGCTTGCCGAAAAGAAACGGCATGTTGGCAGGCCCTTTTCTCTGGCAACATCACAGATAACAAAGGCTTGTCCTTCCAATTGCATATCTCTTTCCAGCCCTGAGCTCCCCGCTGTCGAGGCTGTTGGTAAGGGCAGCGACTCTATCTTGGCCTTTGTTCGCTAGCAAATACACACCGCAGGCAACCGTGCACAGCAACATGCACGGAATCGTAAACGTTTTGCAATGCTGGCAAGGGAATAACACTGCGAAACATGCTAATGCAGCATGAGTTGCTGCCTGTTCAAGTAGCATTGCACAAAGTTGATGTTGCTGCGCTGCCTCTCAGGATAGGCGTGCGGAGCTGCCATTCGTACCCAGCACTGCATCATGACACAAACGTACACTTACAGAGGTGATGCCCAGACGAAGGCTTCATAGTCCACAAAAACCGCTACAACATCAAGGCCAGAGGTGGATGAGAAAGAAGTGGACAAGGTGGACTCAATCTTTGTGGCTAAATGCACCACCCCTTCCCCTGACACCTCGGCTTCTGCGTCGCCGGGTACTACAGCGTTCACTGCTTCTGGCTGAAAGCTGGAAGAGACTGCTTCCTGCCCCGGAAAACCAACAGCTCATGTCTGGCTTCTGGCATGCAGCTTGGCTGCTACTCATGTATAAAGTTATTCGGAAACCACATCGGCAATGAGCACGGCGCTGGTTGACGAAGCGCCACACATACGCTTCACGATTGAATGTCTGTCCCTGCACGAATGCACATCAAACATCAGACCCGTCCTCTCTCTTGCTTGCATCTGGCAACGCAGCTCTGTCAGGTGCGATCGACGCATGGCCAGTAGCTCTTGAGGACAGCGCCTGCGAAAACTTCCGGTCATGTCGGTTGTTCCCCGATCGCAATCAATACAAAGCAGACAAGCAAACAACATGACAACGTTAATTGACCACAGCGAGTTGCCTCTTCCGCACGAAGATTTGTGAACTGCTGCATTGCGCCGGCTGCTGGTGTTGCAGTGGGCACCTGCTGAACAGAACGGCAAAGGACCGAAGTGACGGAAGAATGAGCGAACATGCAGACCACTGCAGCGAACCCAGAAAGCAATTCAGTTTGGCCTGCATTTTTTGAAATTCTGAAAGGAGCTGGAACCAGCCTCTGCGTTCTCTGGCTCCTCCTGGTCTTTGACTTCTGTCTCAGCGACGGGAGCAGAAGCAGCCACTTCCTGACATGAAAGAATTTGTTGAAGAAACCTGTTGGCAGGGTCAAGAAATTGAGCTAGTTCAGGATCCGGGCAATTGGGAGAAGCCTCTATGATGTTTTACCAGACTGGGCTAAGGGATTGGTGAACGGGTTTCTGCAGCGCAGTACAACGCTCGGGTTCTGAAAGGGCGCAGGACAGTCCGGAAATCTGGCTTCAGACTGCGCCCTGTGGTCAGCATAGTGCGGACACTGGCCTACAAGATCCTACAAGCCTTGACAACCCAAGCCAACTTCGTGTCTAGAAAGTCTGCAGACTTTCGGAACCAGCAGTTGCTTGCCCCTTCTAGTGATGGGATACGAAGCATCCAAGCTTTGAAATTGTTGACCTTAATCTGCAGTGGCCTCGTTGTCTGCAGTCGCCAACTCTGCCCCAGGCGCCTCCCTAGAGGGCACCTGCTGCAAATATCTGAAACTTTGGGACTCAGCATCTCGCTGCGTGCAGCCATACGCCGTTGGCAAATGGCAACTCATGGGGCAAACACGCGTTGAAATGATGCGGACCACGATACCGTTGAATACGTGTCACGCTTGCAGAGCGACGCTGCGATAAATGTAGCCTGTCTTCATATGAGCAAATCTTATGGTTCCACCTAATCAAGTCGCTGCATGTCTCTCAGGCTGCCATGGCCAGCACTGAACTGCTCTGTTAAAATCATACTACGAAACTGGACAAGATGGACAATACGCCTCACATTCCAGAAACCCGGGCTGCTGATCCTGCACTGCTGGCTTCGCCGCTGGCTCTGCGCATGGCTTATCTTCCAGGCCCTCTGCAGAGGCTGCTTCAGCCAAGGGAGCTTCGTCCGAAGCCGCTTTGTCGCATACCTGCCGCAAGCGACGAT